CTTTCTATTAATGTGCTTTGATACAGCACTTTGAGAATATCCAACTTCTTTTGCAATTACCTTTTGAGGATTTCCCTCCTTTTGAAGGGTGTCAATGACGGTTTTCTGCACAACTGTCAGGTCAGCAGTCTTTCCCATGATTGTGATTGCTACTGAACCAGACTGAAAGACCATTTAAAGGCTCAGGAACTCTTTGCAGGTGTTATGGCATACTTAGCTGATTAGAGTGGGACACTTTGAGCCTAGAATATTGCACCTTTTCTCAATATTCTAATTTTCTGAGATTGTGGATTTGGGGTTTTCATGAGCTGTAAGCCATAATCATCACAATTAAAACAAATCACGGCTTGAACTATCTTGCTTTGCATGTAATGAGTCTATCTCATATATTAGTTTCACCTTTTAAGTTGCATTACTGAAATAAATGAACTTTTGCACGATATTCTAATTTTTTTGAGTTTCACCAGTATATATATATATATATATATATATATATATATATATATATATATATATATATATATAAATATAAATATAAATAAATATAAAAGCGTAGTCAGGGCTCGAGAGGTAGAATAGTCAGGCAGGCCGGGTCAGGATCAATCGGGCGGGATCAGGTACAGAGGAGTAGGCAAACGGATAGTCGAAAGGAGAGCTTTCGGTGCAGGCAGAGTTCAATCGTAGTCAGAATCAAGCTGGTAGATGACAGGATACAGATACAGGACAACAAAGGCTCATGGGAAAACAAACACCAAGGCACTGATTGCAGGCTTTGTTACTGTTTAAGTACACCTCCTGCAATCAATCTCAGGTGATGGCTTAATTGCAGGAGGTGAGATCCTGGCTGCTGAAAGGCACCTGCTGGTAAGTCCCAGTACTGCAGCGCATAGAGCAGGTGAGCCACAGCACCACCAGCAGTGAGCCCTTTCCTGATAACCTCCATCTTCCAAACGATAGAACTGTGGATTTCGAGATCTTCGAAAGTGGGGCATCCAGTTTCGGGCAGGACTCCCACGTGGACGCATCTTCGTCCTTAAATGGGAAACGCCTTTTCAGGTTCTTAGGAAAAAAAGCTTTCCTTTCCGGCTCTTCCCATTCCCCCTTTATGGTAGACCATAGGGTGGAATGGACCAGGAATGTGCGGCCACTTTTCCTCTGTAGCCCTGCATAAACCTGGTCATGCAGAGAGAGATTTGGTTGTTCCTCTTCTAAGTCCAGCGTATCGTAGATTACCTTTAGGAGACCTTCTGCATCCTCTACTGGAAAAAGGAATCTCTGCGACCTGTGGTCCTGTTCTTCCATCTCGTCTTCTTCCGAGTCCGAAGTACCGGAAGGATCTTCTTCTTGAACTGTGACAGCACCCAGGTCCTGTCTGCTCTTCTTAGCCGGTAGGGAAACGCCTGAGGTGCCTGGTTGGGGCTCGTTTAGGCTCGGTTCCTGCATTTTTTTTTCTCTGAAATTTTGAAAGGTTTTGGACATTTCCTGCGTCATATTTTGTAGATCTTTGAAGAGCGACCCTGACTCTTTCTTAATCAGCTTGTCAATGCACTCCTGGCACAGCTGCTTTTTCCAAGCACTAGTGAGTCTCCTCTTGCAGGTAGCGCATTTCCTCTTAGGTTCACGGAGGACCTCCTTGTCTCCTCTCTCTTCCTCCTGTGGGCCCATCTAAGGACAGGGAGACACAAGGTGTAGGCCTTCTATAAGGCAAGCCCCTGGGGACACCCACTAATCTGCCCCCACTGGCAGTCCGCAAAGAAAAAACCCCTGAGGTGCTGGTGAGAGAGAGAAGAGGAGCGGTGGGAGGGGAGGGGGGCCTAATACCCCCCCCAGGATTCAGATCAGTGCAAAGACGTATAGAGGGGGGGGGGGTTGTGGCAGCCCACAGGCTCCTACCTTACAGCTGGCCTCCCCCAGATCGGACAGATCTGCCTTCATTCTGCAGCTTTCCCGCCATAACCGTGGCTGTGTTTTTAAAGGTTAGTAGGGCTCCGCACCCTCCCTTGGGTCCTGGTGCGCTGACTTCCCCTCACGGCCATGGTGGATGAAGCGGCCGTGGCGTGGGGCAAAGCTTGTGGCCTTCTGTCCATATCCTGTTTGAGCGCCGGAAAATACGCTCGTGGGTCCCAGCGACCGGAAATGACGATCCCAGCAGTGACGTCATCCACCCGTGCGCCTCCACGCTGGGATGTCGACGTGCATCAGAGGAAGGTAGGCTGTTTTTTTCCCCCACAGGGTAGCAGTCCCTTCCCAGTAAGCCAGCGGAGCAGGCTCCATCACCCCCCTGGAGAGGACCAAAAAAAGAGGGTGCTGTCACCCCAACCCCCGGAGGAAAGGGAGGCTTGTAGGGAACACTGGAGAGGCCACCCAGCAAGGCCCCTGCCTTGCTTGAAAAAAGGAGGAGGGGTAGCCCCATCCAGGAGGCCTCTGTAACCCACTAGACAACCATGCTAAACAAAAAAGCAAACGGGAGCAGTTTCTAGTCCTGGTGCGGAGGAAACACTAATACTGAGGGTCCCCTAGAGAGAGCCTATTTATGGGAAAAAAGGTGGATCGGGTGTTTCCTGGGAAGAGCCTATCTCTCATGTGAAGCTGTCTTGGAAGATGACTAGGGAAAAATAACTATATCCATATTTATATTCATATCAGAAAAAGGTCAAATGCACTACGTGGGATATGTCACAATGATATTACATTCATAATCCCCATGACGAAAAATAATTATACCCATGTTCTTCTCAGAAACAGGTTAAATATGTTCCTTGTAATGTGTAACCATGACATTCCACCCATAATTCCCACGCAGAAATATAACTATTTTTTATTAAAAATATGTCAAATGTGTTACTAGGCATATTTAACCACGATTTTCCACCCAAAATCCCCAAGTAGAAAAATAACTATATCCATAATCATTTCAGAAATAGGTCAAATCTGTTCCTTGGCATATGTATCCACAATATTCCACCCATAATCCCCATGTGGAATAACAATTATATGCATTTGCTTATCAAAAATAGGTTAAATATTGTCAGGGATCGCGGCTCCGTGGTCCACGATCGCGGCTCTGTCCCCCGCGCATGCGCATTGGCGGCAGATCGCGCCGGGACACAGGCACTAGGTCCTGGCGAGCCGCGGCTGACAGGACGCCGCGCATGCGCAGTAGGTGCCGGGGGCGCGCCTCAGGCGCCCAATGACAGCCGGGGGCGCGTCCTAGCCGGCCAATGACAGTGCAGGGCGCACTATTTAAAGATGCCCTGCACTGTCACAGATTGCCGCAAGGTCTTCCTGTGATCCTGAGTTCCTGCACCTGTCTAGTGACCCTGATTGACCCTGACTACGCTGCCTGCCCCTGTGATTGACCCGGATTGCCCTGACTATTCTGCCTGCTCCTGTGATTCACCCGGATTGTCCTGACTACTCTGCCTGCTCCTGCGTTTGACCCGGATTGCCCTGACCATTCTACGGATTGACTTCCCTGCTGACCCTGCGTGTGACCCGACTACTCTTCGCCTACCGATTCTGTACCCCGCTTACCCTCACGGCCCCACGATCCGTTACTACCCTGCTGGGGCCGCCATCCTCTTCATATCTGGCTCTCCCGGTACCTGTCCCCAAAGGTCTCCTCAGCCACTGGTGGGCCTGCTCGGAGGTCGTGACCTGGCCCGGGACTGTTTCAAGTCCATCCCCACCATCAGGGGCTCTGGTGAAAGCACAGCCCGGGCTTAGACCCCACGCTCTGAGTAGGTCTGTCAGTTGGCAGCCTGAGGCACCACCTGGCGGATCATAACAAATATGTTCCTTGTTAAGTGTAACCATGAGTTTCCACCTATAATCCCTATATAGTATATAAAAGTAATTTTACCCATTTTCTTATGTAAAAAGGTGAAATGTATTATGTGGGATGTGTAACCATTATATTCCATCCATAATCCCCATGTAGATCAATAATATCAACATGGTTATCAGAGATGCATCAATTTTTTTCCTTTGTGTTTGTAATTTATAATTTTCATTTTGAAACATCTTTTTCCAGGTTCCTAACAAAACAATTAAAAATGTAGCACTTTACTCATACATGTACTGTATGAATTACACTACACTACAGTGGGACACCCCTCGAAATCGTTGGATTCAGGTTTTCCAATCACTTCCTTGGCCACAGGTGTATAAAATGAAGCACCTAGACATACAGTGAATTCAAGCGTGGTACCATGATAGGTTGCCACCTGCGAAAAAGTCCATCCATGAAATTTCCTTGCTTCTAAATATACCACGGTTGACTGTTGGTGTTATAACAAAGTGGAAGCAACTGGGAACAACAGCAACTCAGCCACGAAGTGGTAGGCGAAGCAAAATGACAGAGTGGGGTCAGCACATGCTTAAGTGCTCAGAAGTCACCAACTAACTGCGGAGTCAAAAGCTAAAAGACATCCAAACTTTGTGTGGTCTTCAGATTCATGGAATGGGTTTCCAAGGCTAAGCAGCTGCATCCAAGCCTTACATCACCGAGTGCAATGCAAAGTGTCAGATGCAGTGGTGTAAAGCACACCACCACTGGACTCTAGAGCAGTGGAGATGTGTTCTCCAGAGTGACGAATCACACTTCTCTGTCTGGCAATCTGATGGATGTGTCTGGGTTTGGCAGTTGCCAGGAGAACGGTACTTGCCTGACTGCATTGTGCCAAGTGTAAAGTTTGGTGGGAGGGGGGATTATGGTGTTAGGTTTGGCTTGGCTCCTTAGTTCCAGTGAAGGGAACGGTCAGGAAAGGAATATCCAGGTACACAGATGCCTGGGATTAAGGGAACTCTGCCTGTGGCAGGATCATAGGTGCGCGTGCACGAATGAAGATTTGTAGGTTTAAAGTGTGTGTGTGCGCATGTGTAATAAATAAAAAATGATATATTTTGCTAAAAGTATTTGAACACACTCTCCAAATCATTGGATTCAGGTGTTCCAATCACCTCCATGGCCACAGATGTATAAAATCAAGCACCTAGGCATGCAGACTGCTTCCACAAACATTTGTGAAAGAATGGGTCACTCTCAGGAGGTTGGTGAATTCAAGCATTGCACCGTGATAGGTTGCCACCTGTGCAATAAGTCCATCCTTGAAATTTCCTTGCTACTAAATATTCCACGGTCAACTGTTAGTGGTATTATAACAAAGTGGAAGCAACTGGGAACAACAGCAATTCAGCCATGAAGTGGTTGGCCATGTAAAATGGCAGAGCCAGGTCAGTGCATGTTGAAGCATACAGTGTGCAGAAGTCACCAACTGTCTGCAGAGACAATAGCTTAAGACCTCCAAACTTTGTGTGGTCTTCAGATTAGCACAACAACAGTGCATAGAGAGCTGCATGGAATGGGTTTCCATGGCCGAGCAGCTGCATCCAAGTGCAATGCAAAGCATTAGATGCAGTGGTGTAAAGCACACACGCCACTGGATTCTAGAGCAGTGGAGATGTGTTCTCTGGAGTGATGAATCACGCTTCTCGGTCTGGCAATCCGATGGACGTGTCTGGGTTTGACGGTTGCCAGGAGAACGGTACTTGCCTGACTGTATTGAGCCAAGTGTAAACTTGGTGGAGGGGGGATTATGGTGTGGGGTTGTTTTTTTCGTGGGTTGGGCTTGCACCCTTAGTTCCAGTGAAGGGAACGCTTAAGGCGTCATTATACAAAAGACATTTTGGACAATTTCATGCTCCCACCTTTGTGGGAACAGTTTGGGGATGGCCCCTTCCTGTTCCAAAATGACTGCGCACCAGTGCACAAAGCAAGGTCCATAAAGACATGGATGAGTGAGTTTGGGGTGGAGGAACTTGACTGGCCTGCACAAAGTCCTGACTTCAACCCTATAGAACACCTTTGGGATGAATTAGAACCGAGACTGCGAGCCAGGCCTTCTCGTTCGACATAAATGTCTGACCTCACCAATGAGCTGCTGGCAGAATGGTCAAACGTTCCCATAGACACACTCCTAAACCTTGTGGACAGCTTTCCCAGAGTAGTTGAAGCTGGTATAGCTGTAAATGGTGGGCCAACTCAATATTGAACCCTATGGACTGGGATGCCAATAAAGTTCATATGCCTGTAAAGGCAGGCGTCCCAATACTTTTGGCTATATAGTGTATATAAGCAAGTGAAGCACTGCAGAAAAGAAAAACATGTTTTGAGTAACAACAGTGTCATTACCATATAAGTGTGTAAAAATATACTGACACCTAGTGAGAGTGTTGAACATTGAAGCCAATAACTCTGGGGCAAGAGGAAATAGGGCCAAGGATACTGGCAGAATCTCAAAGATGGACAATGTAGGAATCCAATGGATGATTCAGGCCACAAATACCCATCCATAACTGAAATACTAGTGTTTGATGACCTGGTCAATTTAAGTATAACATAATATAAAGCAATGGTAACAGTCCTGCTGTGATGGGTAAATGACAATTAGAGGAGCTGAAATCCTTACCCTTCCTGGAGAAAATACTGCTCCAGCTTCCTTCTTTTATATGATCTCTGTTGAAGGAAAAAAATGAGTTCAAATTGACAGATCCTGCCTTTTAACCAACATCAAACGGCCTACTGCTCAGGCTTTGATCTGTAACCAGAGCAGAGAGAAACATGGAGCAGCATTTTATGTCAGGAAAGGTCAATTTAGCTACTCTAATCTTTTTATTTTTCTGTTTCACATGCCAACAATTGAGAATAAGGACACTTCTGCTCCTATAATTGTTCTAAAGGACAGATTGCATGGTTATGGTAGGACAGAGCATACATAAAGGACAACGGGACTATGTAGATACGTACAATCCTGATGTTTTTCTAAAGCAAGCTCAAGTTTTTCTTTCGTCTTCTGCAGGCTGCGGACCTGTACTGCATAATCTTTGAAAGTGGAAACAAAAAGAATGGAAGGACCAGGAAAGGACAAAGTGGGGAAAAAAAACAAAAAGGACAACACAGAGGACCAAACAGAAAAAATTAAATGAGTGGGAAAAGGGTCAGACAGTCACACTTCCAGCATCATTTTACTTATTGGTAGACACCACTAAAGCTATAGACATAAAAAACAAGGTACAATGTTATACAATATTATGTTACAAATAGCCAAGCTTTGATCATCCTGTAGCAAAAACAACTTTCATTACACCATATGACATCATGACAGGGCTGCTGCTAGAAAGAGGGATAAAAAAGGTGCCCTAGGCCAGTTTCTACTGATTACATCTCCCGAGAGCCATTTACCTTCTCAAAGTGTGTGGGCAGGCTCTTGGGAGTCAAGGAAGCAGAACTACAATGTATGCAACATGTCCTTATTGCAGATTTTCCCTCATTTCCTGTCTGGTAAAACGGTTATCACAGTCAGTGAAGGGAAACTTCTCTAACAATGACCCAGGCAGAAACAAGAACTCCACAGGGGTTCTAACAGTTCTGCAAGCTACAACAAAGTAAAATAAAAGCTCTGGCCAGATATACACATAAGCCCTAACTGAAAGATATGAAGTTTGTTTGGTATCAAGCAATTGCAGTTTTTTAAAAAATAAAATAGGACTTTTGTACTCACTGTAAAATTGTTTTCTCCGAGTATACTGAGAGACACAGGATTCTTGAAGAACTGGGTAATACTGTTGCATACAGGAGGATTAGACACTGGAAAGCAAAAAAAACTATAGGCCAGACAATAGGGCATAAAGCCCCCCACAACCATATCACACCTCAGGTCATCATGCAAGGGGCCGTGGCTGGGTTACCAGAGCTGGTTTTACTTTTCAATTGCACTTGGACTGTAAATGGACTTACTTATACAAGTCCTTTTACATGGATTTCTTTTTTGCTATTCACTGAGCACATTATTTGATCTGTTTTCCATTTATCTTTGACTCAATATTTTTTTAACGCTGAACATTTATCTTGATTATTTACTAGTAGCAGCTTTTTTTGCACTTATAGCCTAAGTGCAAGTTACACTTTGTTGATAATCCATTGCTTTCACACAGCTCCATAATTATTCCCCCCCCCCACCTTCCACCATGTATTGCGGACCCAATTCAGTGATCACATGCAACGTAGTAAGCAAGATGTCACTTCTGACATCGTTGCTTACTATGTGTGAAATCTGTGATCACAGAGGTCACATGGTACAATGCTATTCACAACAACCAATCACAGCTCACTCAATAGTTCTCAAGAATGCAGACAGAGAAAGAGAAATGATTGCTTTTACATCCTTTATGGGTGTAAAAGCAATCAGTGCAAAAAAAAAAAAAATATCACCCCCCCCCCCCACCATGGTGACGCTGTACTGCTAGGGTGACAGTATGTAAAAAAAAAAAAAAAAACAAATAATAATATAATAATATAAAAAAATAAAATAAAAATGTAAAAAAAAAAGTTTAAAAATTATAATTTTTGGTTATAAACTAATTTGGCTTATTTTTTTTTTTTACTAAAAAGATAATGGAATAAATTTTGGCCAAGATTTATGATGAAATATTTACTTGCAAAATTTTATAAGAAAAAACACTTTTTTTCAAAATTTGTGGACTTTTTCATTTACATAGCAAAAAAAATAAAAATCCTAGCGGTGAATTAATACCACCAAAATAATGCTTTATCTGTCTCAAAAAAAAATTCATATGGGTACAGTGTTGCATGACTGTGCAATTGTCATTCAAAGTGTGATAGCGCTGAAAGCTGAAAATTACCCTGGACAGGAAGGGGGTAAATGTGTCCAGACAGGAAGTGGTTAATGTAGAGAATGCATTAACTTGAACTTCTAAAGAGACGGTCCCTTTTTAAAAGGTTTATCACATAACCTAGATTAGGATGTGAGATCTCTGCTCCAAGATTTAGCTGTAAGGCCCTAGTTGCTGCAATGACAGGGATGTGGCCCTACCATTTATACCTATTACACAATGTGCTTATTGGCTTTGGACAGAGTTGCAATTGATTCTAAAAAACCTCCAAATTAGTTTAATTGTAGCTAGGGGGCTGAAGTGGAAGCAACATGTTTTAGCAAAGGTTTACCTGAAATTGCAGTCTTCCAATTCCCATGCTTTCACAGAAGGGATTCTTCCTTTTCATCCATAGGATCGTAAAAAAAAAACTCATATCCTTAAACAAAAGGTCTAATTTTTTTTTTTTTAGAAACCTAGGTTACATCTAATTTTAAGTCATCTTCAGCAAAGGGGGATGGTGACACTGTTCTACTTGTGGGGGGTGATGAAGATTTTTTTTTTTTCACACTGATTGCTTTTACACCCATAAAGGCTGTAAAAGGAATCATTTCTCTTTCTCTCTGGCTGCATTCTTGCAGCCATTGAGAAATACTGTATGAGCTGTGATTGGTCACAGCTTATCACATGGTACAAGGCTGTTGTGAATTGTGATCATTCACAGATTTCACACATAGTAAGCAATGATGTCAGAAGTGACACCTTGCTTACTACTCTGCATGTGATCACTGATTGGCCAATCACATGATTGGGACCTCGCACAGAGGTCCCCCACGACGATCTGTGTTCCACTATGTCAGGAGGACACAGCAAGCACCGGATCACCGGATCTCCCAGGGAGCACGCACAAGTAGGAGGCGGGGAGGCAGTTTATAAAACGGACACCCAACCATGCACTGCCAACATTCAGCCGTTTATATACAATGGCCGAATGGGAGGTGGCTTCTGTGCAAATCAGACCATACATCCTCGAACTGGTCCTGTTGCTACTTTAGACTGTGCTATATGGGGGTGGTTGGGAGGAACCAACAAAAACCAAAAGAGGATGGTTGCCTTTTCAAAATAGGATAGGAAACCTCAGAGGACCAAAGTTAAAAACACCAATCACTAAAAAAGGAAAGACCTGTCTTTAAACATTCAGGTCCACTGTCCTAGAATAATGGTTTAGACTGCGTGGGGACCCCTGTAAACTTTGCAAGGTACTACTTGCAAAGTTGTTCCTGCTAAGCCAAGAAAGCACAAAAGAGAGGAGGCCAATGGGTATTTGGCACTCTTATTTGGATGCGAGTCTTGAGCTTCCCGTTTTAGGTCAACAGGTTCACATTCTCATGTGCTGTCCTGGTACAAAATTAGAGGAAAATAGAGGTCTCAGCAGACCTCAGGAAAAGGCATCCAGCCTTCTAGGAAACTGGCAAAAACTGAAGCAGAACAGTTGGAGGTGGGGATAACTTTTACTTGCTTGCCAGTGTCCCAACCTTCTGTAGGTGTCAGTGTAATACAAATGTCTAAGAATAACTAAATTCCTGTGTCCCTCAATTGATGATAAAGAAAACCCCTTATTTTACAAAGTAGCATGTAGTATGTATGTACTAAACATTGATACACCACCATAAGTGAGGAGTGAACATACAAAACGGATAAAAAA